AAAACAAGAGCCCCTTTGAGGCAGGTTGGGAATGCTATGATAGTGTCATTTTTAGAGTTGAAGAAACTGAGGTTCAGAAAGGTGATGTGACTTGCGCCAGGTCGCCTGAATAATTGATGAGGGAGACTTGGGTTTCCATGTGATTCCACGTGACTGATAGCACATGCTCTGAACCCACAGCGCAGGACTCTGCTCACACTGGCTCTGCTCACACTGGCTCCGCTATTCCTTGGCTGTGTGACACTGAGCAAGTCAACACTGCTGCTGAGTCTTGCTTTTTCTTATCTGTAAGATAGGGCTGCCTGTCTCTTTTCAGAGTGCCCTTTGTGTCTCACGGCTTGGGGACTTTTTTCAGCGGTGAGAATAGGAAGCAGAAGCTATTTGAAGACAACCCGTCTTCCTGTCTTTTCCTGAGAACCTGAGTGCAGTGAGAAGGTTAGGCCACGTGGGTGGCAGGTGGGGAGAGAAGAGTGTCCATCTGCCATCCACAGCCAAGGGGAGAGGAGAGATTGTCCTTGGCTGGGAGGGGGCCAGAGGTCATGGGCACCTGGACTCTGCTTTCTGGAGAGATGGTGGGACCTCTTGGGAAAGTCACTGGGTGATCCTGGATATCAAAATGAGACACAGTGGTTTCAGGTCTTACAAAGAATCTAGACTCCAGCATGCCAGGGAAGTGGGCAAGGCTGGACTTCAGACAGTCAAGCCCATTTGGGCAATGGGCATTCATCGTAGGAGGACCCAGGAGCCTCCGTCACGCTTACGTTCTGTGTGTCCTCTGGGTCAATGTGCGTGGCTGGGGGTGGGAGTGAGGGAAACTCAGTGCACTTGGACATTTCATTTCCTCCTAGCCCGATAGGATGAGGCTCAGAGTCCTATTGAATGCTATTTAATCTGAATAAAGGGAAGACCATTTTACGCACACCTGAGGGCGTGCAGTAAGAGTGACTGATACTGTAAAATGAGGAGGGAAGCGATGGGGCTGGCACTGGAGGGCTCTGCTTGACTGAGCCAGGCTGCCATTTTCCCGTCTTCACTGCCTTAGCCTGGCCTTAGCCGGCCAAAGGGTAAAGAATACACTTCACCTGCCCAGGGCAGGTGAGGGGATCTTTCTGGTAAGCCACAAGGTGGTTAAAGAGCTGGGGCCAGGATTACTGGGACTCCACCTCCTGAGGTCTCCCTGAACTTCTCCCCAGCCACCGTCCTGGCTTTCATGCTGCCAACGTGTCTACTTGTCACTCATTCGAGGGAAAAGCAGCCAGGCCTCATTTTATCCTCATCTCAAATCCACAGCAAGAGCAGAGGGGGTGAAGATCAAACTCTCCACCACAGCCATTCCTGAGCCCTGTGCCGCTGCCCTCCCTGTGCTCGCATCAGACAGTTGACCCTGGCAACAAGCCTGTGAGTGACTGTCTCAGGCCCGTATTTCTCAGAAGAGGAAGCTGAGTGGTAGAGAAATGAGTGATTTGCCTGAGGCCATTGAGCTTCCAGTGGCAGAGCTGGGATTCAGACCTGGACGCTGACCCCAGGGCACACTGGAAAATATTGCTCTTCCCTCTGCTGAGTAGAACTTACTCCAGAACAGACCCCTGGCCTGCTGAGTCCAGTGTGCCCCTAACACTACCTTGTGGTCTCCCCATCTATAAAATGAGTGCACGGGACTCACCTGGTCATCTCAAAGGCCTCTGCCAGCCCTTGTCCTTTCCTGACCCCCATCTACTGCTACAGTCCACACCTTGTAAGGCAGGATAGCCTGGTGGCTGAAGGGTGGGCCTCGAAGCCAGACTGCCTAGGCTCAAGCCAATACTCTCATTCAATGCCCGCGTGATTTCAGGTGAGTCACCTAGCCTCCACCTATCAAGTGGGCCATAGTGATAGCGCCTACTGCATACAGCTGTTGTGAGGATTAAATAAATCAAACCACTAAAGGCTCTCAGGGCAGCGCCTGGCACACAGTAAGGCCATCTGTGTGTATGTGTAATTCTTGTCTCTCTAATGAAATGAAAGCCAAAGTCCTGATTCTTGGTCCTAGGGGGAGGATGCCAGCCCTGAGCATTCCTGCGAATGGTCCTCCACAACCCCAGGTGTCCTGAAATGACATCTATCCCCTGCCCCAGACAGGCCCACCTGGCTTCTCGTGTCCCTGGAGGGAAGGGATAAGGTAAGAATACAGGTTTTGGCCAGGCGCAGTGGCTCACACCTGTAATCCCAGCATTTTGGGAGGCCAAGGTGGGCGGATCACCTGAAGTCGGGAGTTCCAGACCAGCCTGGCCAATATGGTAAAACCCTGTCTCTACTAAAAATACAAAAATTAGCCGGGCGTGATAGTGCACACCTGTAATCCCAGCTCCACGGGAGGCTGAGGCAGGAGAATCGCTTGAACCTGGGAGGCAGAGGTTGCAGTGAGCCGAGATCGCGCCACTATACTTTAGCCTGGTCAACAGAGCAAAACTCTGTCTCAAAAACAAACAAACAAACAAACAAACAAAAAACAAAAAAGCATACAGGTTTTGTGGAATGAGGAAGAAGCCTAAAATAAACAACAAAAAAAGCTACTTACGGTTGTGTTGTGGGTGACTGGGCACCGGGAGCTGCTGGGGGCTGAGGAGTCCCAATTGTTTTCTGTCCTCTCCCAGGACCTGGCCCTGGGTGCCACTCAGAGCACCTGTTGAGTGCCACCCCCAAGCCAGCTTTCTCTTGCTTTTGTACTTTCTCACAGATGAGTGAGTGTGAGGAGGTCTGGCCTTCCGTGCCTGTTACCACTTCCCCTCCAGGTCCCTGGTGCCACAATGCTCTTGGCCCTGCGGTTGAGTCCTCTCTCACAACGAACTCTGGCCAGGGTGAGGCATGGGCCTAGACCCTGGAGTCAAAGGACTTGGGTTCTAATCCAGCCTCATTAAGATGTTGATTCACTTAACCTCCCTAAAGGCAAGTTTCTTTATCTGTAAAATGAGGATAATGCACCAGCATTACAATAGATCACCTAAAAGGACATGCCATTCCAATACCTCTTCACCACTAGGCCAGAGCTTTGACATGCAAATGCATACAGGTAGATTAACATAATGGGTGATGGGTCCTGGTGTGGGGCAATAGGGAGTGGTGGGGACTGTGGGTAATAAGGGGAACACAGGATCCAAGTGGAAACGCCTGGCTGGAACTGAGAGATACCTGACCCTCTCCCCTGGTCCAGCTAAGTATCTGCCCCACACCCCAGACCCTGATCTGGGCCAGTGGAGAGGGGCAGGTACCTCTTAGTTCCAGCCAACATTTTCTCCTTGGGAGTACAGGCAAACTGTCAGATGTTCCAAGCATTTGGAAGTTGTGCTGTATTTTCCAAGAGATACCGGAAATTTTGACTTATGTGATAACTTCCTCTGTGTGTGTGTGTGTGTGTGTTTTGTTTGTTTGTTTGTTTGTTTTTGTTTTGAGACAAGTCTTGCTCTGTTGCCCAGGCTGGAGTACAATGGCGCCATCTCAGCTCACTGCAACCTCTGCCTCCTGGGTTCAAGCAATTCTCCTGCCTCAGCCTCCCAAGTAGCTGGGACTACAGGTGCGCGCAACCACCTCCAGCTAATTTTTGTAGTTTTAGTAGAGATGGGGTTTTGCCATGTTGGCCAGGCTAGTCTTGAACTCCTGACCTCAAGTGATCCGCCCACCTTGGCCTCCCAAAGTGCTAGGATTACAGGTGTGAGTCACCACGGCCAGCCGCCTCCTGATTATTTTATTTTATTTTTTTGAGGCAGGGTCTCTCTCTGTTGCCCAGGCTGCAGTACAGTGGCATGATCATAGTTCACTGCAGCCTCAACTTCCTGGGTTCCAGTGATCCTCCCACCTCAGCCTTCCAAGTAGCTGGCAGTACAGGCATGTGCCACCATACCCAGCTATTTGTTTAAAATTGTTTGTATAGATGGGGGTCTCACTATGTTGCCTAGGCTGGTTTTGAACTCCTGGGCTCAAGCAATCCTCCCGCCTCAGTCTCCAAAAGTGTTGGGATTACAGGCATGAGCCACCGTGCTCAGCCAGTTGCCAATTTTAGAATGTCAAGCCGAAAGTCACACCTTTAAAAAATGATATGTGAGTCAAACAAAACATTATCTTCAGTTTATATTTATTAGGGAGTGTGTCCCTAATGTCCAGTCCTGGGCTGGACATAAATACTCGGGTATGGAATCTGATACAGTTCCAGTGTCCTCATATCCACTATCAGATAAAATATGTAATGAGATGCCATTATATTCTGATTATGGCAAAGTTTTTGCCCTTGTAAACTCATGGCCTATGATTATCTCATCAGATTCTCTCACTAACTGCTCCCCACACCCCAGACCCTGATCTGGGCCAATGAAGAAAGATTTTGCCCCTGAGGTAGAGTTGCAAGATTCCTTAAGTAAAAAATAAACACAACAATAGTTGAGACATTCAGGCACTAAAAATTACTTGTTGCTTATCTGTGATTAGAATACTTATCTGGGCGTGGTGGCTCATGTCTGTTATCCCAGCACTTTGGGAGGCAGAGGCAGATGGACTGCCTGAGCTCAGGAGTTCAAGACCACCTTGGGCAACATGGTGAAACCTCGTCTCTACTAAAATACAAAAAATTAGCTGGGTGTGGTGGTGCGCAGTTGTAGTCCCAGCTACTCGGGAGGCTGAGGCACGAGAATTGCTTCAGCCACAGAGGTGGAGGTTACAGTGAGCGAGATCGCCTTACTGTACTCCAGCTTGGGCTCCAGAGTGAGACTCTGTCTCAAAAAAAAAAAAAAAAGAATGTAACCAGGCATTCTCTGTCTTATCTGGCAACACCACCCAGAGGGGATACTTGGCAATATCTGGAGACATTTTTGGTTGTCACAATCTGGCGGAGGAATTCTACTGACACCTGCTAGGTAGAGGCCAGGAATGCTGCTAACCATTCTGCAATGCACAGGACAGCCCTACAGCAAGGCATATCCAGCTCAAAATGCTAACATGCAAACCCTGGTCTGGACTTAGTGCTGGCTCCTTCAGCGCAAAGCCATTGTTGGGAAGGGCCTTTAATTTGATCATTAGTCCCTTTGGGAAATGGAACAGTAACAGCCTCCAGCCCTTGCATTTCTCCCAAGAGCAAGACATTAGTGGTGAGGAATGGGACAGAGAGCCCCAGGTGCCAAGAAAGAGGAAAAGAAGACCAGAAGGAGCTGGGGAGTGGGGGCCGCCTGCAGCCTACATCAGACTCCTATCTGGGCTGGAATTGGAGACCCAGGGATGAGCTGGAAGAGATCTAGCAGATACTTCCACCATCCTGAATCCTAGACCTCTGGCCTTGAGAAAGCCCCACATGGGGAAGAAGAGTGAGGCTGTCCCTAAACGCCTGGTCCTCCATTGCAGCCCGAAGCATGTAATTGGAGGTCGAAGGCATGAATGAGTGAAGGAATGAAGGAAGAAGGAAGAAAGAAAAGAAGTTACTGAAAGTTCAAGTGGAAGGAACATTAGGAAGCTGAGTTATTGTGTAGTCTCTGCCATTGCCTGGCTCAGCAACAAGTTACTTCCTGTATCTGTTCTCAATTTCTCCATTCCTGAAATGAGGAAGTTGGAGATAACAGGTGCCCCTGAAACGCCTGAGTGCATCGAAGTCACCCATAGGGCCTGTTAAAACACAGATTGGGGCCAGGCGAGGTGGCTCATGCCAGTAATCCCAGCATTTTGGGAGGCTGAGACGGGAGGAGGTCTTGCCGGAGCTCAGGAGTTTGAGCTTACAGTGAGCTCTGATCATGCTACTGCGCTCCAGGCTGGGTGACAGAGAGAGAACCTTGACTCTTAAAAACAAAACCCCAAAACAGATTGCTGGGCCCCACTCCTAGAGATTCTGTTTCAGTATTTTGGGGTGGGGCCCAAGAATCTGCATGTCTAACGAATTCCCAGGGGAGGCAGATGCTGTGGGTCCTTGGACTCCCTGTGGGCAGCACTGGACAAGAGGATCAGTAAGGAAGCTGCAGGATCTCTAAGTCCCCTGGGCGGGGCTGATGGGCCCACAGAGGAAGTCT